ACAAAAAATTTTTTTAAATGCTTTAGTTAAAGTCTAGAAAATATGCATGTAAAAAGAGAGAGAGAGAGAAAATCGAAAGTAAGCCAACTCAAAACATTTGGGAAAATTTTAATTATTTTGAAAAATTTTGGTAAGGCATGCATGGATCAGAGGGGATCTGGATCCCGCGATATTCAATTTTTTTTTTTTTCCCCACCCCCCCAAAGAAGTTTGGGGTTTGGAATAGTTGTCCGTTGTCCATTTTTTGGGCAAAATTCCCGGGATATCTCCTTTTTGAGGAACATTAGAATCTACTACTCCACAAAAGATTGCCCATGACCTTAGGGTGTGTCATGACCTTGACCCAAGGTATTTGGGGGGAAATTCAAGGTCACTGAAAAAAAAAAATTCCTGTCCGGTCCACATCTTTCTTGGTAAACTTGGTATGGTCTTATTTAGACAAAAATTTCTCATGACCTAAGATTTGTCATAACCTTGACCCAAGGTCATTTAGGGAAGTTCAAGGTCACTGAAAAAAAGTTTCATAATTCGTGGCCAGTCCATACCTTTTTATGGATAAACTTGGTAGGTTCTCATTTCACACAAAGATGCCCATGCAAAAGAGTGTGTCATGACCTTAGGCCAAGGACATTTGTGGAAGTTCAAGGGCACTGGGAAATATTTCATAATTTGTGTCCTGTCCATATCTTTTTATGGATTAACTTTGGGATGTTCTTATTTCACACAGATATTGCCCATACCCAAGATTGTGTCATGATCTTGAGCCAAGGTCCTTAGGGAAGTTAAAGGTCACTAAAAAAAATTGATAATTGTTAGTTGAGATCTTTCTTATGGATAAACTTTGGGATGTTCTCATTTCACACAAAGACTGCCCATGACTTAAGGGTGCTCATGACCTTGAACCAAGGTCATTTTGGGAAGTTAAGGTCATTGAAGAAAAATTTCATAAATTTTCCCTCTATATCTTTCTTATGGATGAACTTGGTAGGTTCTTATTTCACACAAAGATTGCTCATGACCTAAGAGTGTGTCATGACCTTGACGAAAATATTTGGGGAAGTTCAAAGCAACTTGAAGAAAATTTTTTATTATTTGTGTCTGGTCCATATTTTTTTATGGCTAAACCTCAATCTATACTTCACACAAACCTTGCTTATTATCTATTTTCTGTCAAGACGTTGATCCAAGGTCATTAATGCAAGGCCAAGGTCACTGACAGAAAAATTCATAATTGTTCTGGGCCGTTATTTTTTAGTCTGTTTTTTATTATAAGGATGAGCCTTTGTTTATTTTGAAAAAAATGAGAAATTACATTTGCATTAAAAATGTTTTAGCATTTCACCTTTCTCTTAGATCCATTAAAAATTCATGATTTAACACCTCTGAAAAACCCAGCGGGGGTATTTAATCCTATTTGGACAGTTCTAGTTTAAACTGACATAGTGATTTGAGCCACCGCCTCCTAGGGAAATTTTCTGGATGCACCTAACAAAAAAAATTCAATTGGGCTCGGGCTTCACCTGAATATAAACGATAATGGGTAATTCATTAAGAAAAACGCTGTCATTTGAGTGTTTTAATGCAAAAGAGCATACTTTTGTGATACATGTATTGGAATACAATTAGCCATGTCAGTTAAGCTAATGAAAGTTTGACCGCAAATTTCATATCCCTAATTTGAGAAAAAAGAACGATTCTTTTTTTTCCTGATTATTTATAAATATGTGTTATTATAGGCATAAATGTAAAAATATCCTTAAACATTATTCTTATACACTTTAGCTAAAGCTTTTTCATACTCGTTAGTCATATTCTGTCAATAACAAATAAAAGCCGTTTGTCTGCACTTTAACCATCCCTGATGTTAGGAAAAAATGGAAAATCTCATTTTCTCGAGAATTTGCAGCATGTCTATTTTCAAACATTTTTCTATAAATAGAAACAGAAACCTCTGCTTCTCATTCTGTATTTCATATATGCTTTCTTTTACTTGTTGGTCACTGAATGCCAATAGCAGTAAAAAACAGATAGTCAGCAATTGTTCATCCAAAATGTAGAAAAAAAATAGAAATAAATTACATTTTCCAGATAAGTTACAGTATGTCTATTTTAAACTCATGTTACTATATATAGAAATGGAAACCTCTGCTTCTCATTCTGTATTTGATATAAGGCTTTCTTTTACTTGTTGGTAACCATATGCCAATAGCAGTTAAAAAAAGATAGTCAGCAATTATGCATCCAAAATTTTAGAAAAAAATACAAAAATGACATTTTTCCAATAGTTTACAGTACGTCTATTTTTGAACTCATGTTACTATAAATAGAAATGGAAACCTCTGCTTCTCATTCTGTTTTTGATATAATGCTTTCTTTTACTTGTTGGTCACTGAATGCCAATAGCAGTAAAAAACATATTGTCTGCAATTGTTCATCCAAAATGTGAGAAAAAAAGTAGAAATAAACTACATTTTCCCATAATTTACAGTATGTCTATTTTTAAACTCATGTTATATAAAAAGAAATGAAAACCTCTGCTTCTCATTCTGTATTTGATATAAGGCTTTCTTTTACTTGTTGGTCACCATATGCCAATGGCAGTTAAAAACAGATAGTCAGCAATTATGCATCCAAAATTTTAGAAAAAAGTACAAAAATGACATTTTTCCAAAGTTTACAGTACGTCTATTTTTGAACTCATGTTACTATAAATAGAAATGGAAACCTCTGCTTCTCATTCTGTTTTTGATATAATGCTTTCTTTTACTTGTTGGTCACTGAATGCCAATAGCAGTAAAAAACAATAGTCAGCAATTGTTCATCCAAAATGTAAAAAAAAAAAGAAATAAATACATTTTCCCCATAATTTACAGTATGTCTATTTTTAAACTCATGTTACTAAAATAGAAATGAGAAATTGCTTCTCATTCTGTATTTGATTAAGGCTTTCTTTCTTGTTGGTCACCATATGCCAATAGCAGTTAAAAACAGATAGTCAGCAATTATGCATCCAAAATTTTAGAAAAAAGTACAAAAATGACATTTTTCCCAAAAGTTTACAGTACGTCTATTTTTGAACCATGTTACTATAAATAGAAATGGAAACCTCTGCTTCTCATTCTGTTTTTGATATAATGCTTTCTTTTACTTGTTGGGCACCATATTCCAAAAGCAGTTAAAAACAGATAGTCAGCAATTTTCATCCAAAATAAAAAAAGTCAAAAAAACTCATTTTCCCAATTTTGCAGTTGTTATTTTTAAACATTTTATATAAATAGAAATGGAAACCACTGCTTCTGATTTCGTATTTGATATAAGATTTTTTTTACTTGTTGGTCACCATATGCCAATAGCAGTTAAAAACAGATAGTCAGCAATTATTCATCCAAAATTTTAAAAAAATAAAAAAACGACATTTTCCCCAATTTCGCATTATGTTATTTTTAAACATGTGTTACTATAAATAGAAATGGAAACCTCTGCTTATATGCTGATTTCCCTTGAATTTCTTTTTTTCTTGTCAGTCACATAATATCAGTTACATTTAATGACAGTAAATTGGTAAATTTCCCGTCTCTAATTTAGAATTGGTGGAAAATCAACATTAAACAGTTAATTTCATATGTGTCTATTTTTAGACATTTGTACTATTAATAGAGATGAGAGCCTGTCCTCAATAATTTGTGAGATTTATATATTCCTTGTTCTTATTGATGAAATATTAGAAAGATCCATATTTTTATTATTTATGATTCAGTGGAGCTTCAAAATAATGGAAAATTGACATTTTTCATCATTTTATGAGACATGACCATATCAAGGCATTTGAAGCTATAAATAGAAAATGGAAATCCCTGAAAATAAGATGCATGGTATTTTTGGTGTCCATTCTTGACATTGGCATATTGACTTTAACAGTGTATTTCATAATTACCTAGCAATGGCATCTTAAACTCTCCCCAAAATTTTATTTTTTGGATTTTTTTTTAAATATTTATTTTTAGATACATGTTCTAAAAATAGCATTGAGATCCCACTCCAATTTTTTTATGGGGGACACTACAAATACTGAGTTTAGACACGCATATGATTTGAAAAATTTCCGTAGACAATTTTTTTCATTTAACCTTAAATTTCTAAAAAAATGCCAAAATTTCCATTTTTCACATTTTGAGAAACTTGTATTTTGCAGAACCGTTTTCTAAGAGTGGGGTCAATTCTGGAATAACTGGTTATATGCCCTGTATTCTTTAACAGTTGATGTTTTCTTATGATACAAAGATTTATATTTGAGTTCACTACATAAAGATAAAAATGCATTCATAATCCCTCAATTTTCATGTTTTTGTTTGGTCAAAAATGGCCGAAAATGGCCAAATTCAATGGATCCGTCTCCATGGCAACCGGGTGCACGTGGGAAACTTCTAACACCATATTTGCTGGTTTTCTACCAAGGTGCACCTGTGGTGCAAATTTCATCAAAATCGGAGATATGTCGTTTCCAAGATTTTTTGGTGCTTACAGAGAATGCATGTTAATTAATAAACTTTTTGAAAATTTCTCATTGGCAATCCTTTTCCACTATAAAATGCTTTAATATGATATCAGAGTATTGTGTACTTGACGGACATTTAAGGGTAGAGAATTTGGTCCTATTAGGGATTGAAATCCTTAAATATATGAATTATAATAGTATACCATTCTAAAGGCCAGTGAAAGTATAAACTACATGAAATAAATACCCAAAGTAGCGACAAAAAATCGTCAGTGTAAATCGAGGGTTTTTACAACGATTGGATCTGTAGCTCTCTCATTTATCTGTCTGAATTTTCTCATGTAAGTATTAAATGAGAGATACAGTTCTGCAGCTATCGAACAATAAGCTCTCGCTCCTTGAGAATTTTTTTTTATTTGATGTAAGTAAATAAATTGATAGATTTATTTTATTTGAAATTAGAAATTTACAATATAAGACATCTGTGAACAGGTCAGAAGACTGGAGAAGAAGAAGAGAATCGTTAAGGTGTCCCTCACCCTCATTGAGCCTCACAGCTCTATCCCTAAAAGGTAACTTCATGACTGAAGAGTTCTCACTAAGGGAGATAGGTAATTCATTGATAATTAGTTTCTTAATATTTTCATAGTTTGCATGATTCAGAATAATATGCTTCAATATGCAGGTTGACCATGAATTACAATCCAAGAACAGTTATTCCTTATAACACCCAGGATTCAGATCTCTTCATGGTTTGTACATTATGCTTTTCTAAGAACTGCATGTACTCTATGTTGTTGAAAAATATAAATAAATTAATGCATTGCAGTGCTTTCATAACTGATTATCTTTCAAGATTTTTAAAAGTAATTTTTTAAAAATACACGGTGCTCTTTTAGTGAATTATACATGTACTTGATTTCCAGAAAAGTGTCAAAAATGATACTGATATACATTTCGTATAATTTTTTTTGTTTTAAACACAGGAAAAGGGAAATAGTTTAGAAGGAGAGGGTCGAGAGAGATTTACTAAGGCTGTAGATACAGTTCACAACTACATGACGAAGAAGATCCTGGGTACTCTAAGGAAAGAGGACACAGAATTCATGGAGAGTCTACAAGGTAGTCATTCAGTCTATTCCACATTTTAGATAATGAATGATTCCATTGATCCTAGAAAGCGCATATGTTGTGTATACCGGTAGTCACAAAATGCAGCCATCATCTTGAATTTTAT